GTAATTCAAAAAGCACTAAAAAACCTCATGATTTTCAGCTCTAGGAATGCTGTCTATTCACGTGCATTAAAAACATCATTACGGCCCTCTGAGGATAAGGAAGAATGCAGATTTTAACGTTTGCGCTTAGTCCTCAAAGATTCAGGTATCCGAGCCAGCCAACTTTTCAGAGCGTAGCCGCTCCGGCTGAAAGTTACCTCAGAGCTGCTCGTAGCAAACTTTTTGCTTTGAGGAAGAGAAATGGAGCTTCTGAAATGTTCCTATGTTTATAACCTTTAGATCTATATAATCTGTATATTTTTGATCCCTCTATACGTTATGTATCGTTTTACCAGTATTAAAATTCTAGAGAAGATGGGGGAAGAAAGTAGGCCGTGATGCTTGTGAAGATCATGATGATTCTTAGAGACACGTACAACTGAACTTTCTCTCAAAATTCCCATTTAAAAAAAGAAGTGAAAGAGCCCCAAATGAGGTGCGGTGTAAGGAATACCTATTAATGTTGTATTTTAAGAAAATGAGAATACTATCTCTCCTAACTTGGCAAGCGAAGCTCATACAAAAAAGGTTTTGACAACTTTTCATACTAATAGTGCAAGAAGATTAAGACAAATTGACTGTACGGATATTTTGTATCGTCACTAATCCCGAGGTTCAGGTGAACATTTTTTGGAAATACAAGCTAATGATCATCCGTACCTACCAAAAAAGCCCTGAGAGAATCTATAGTCCTACAGGATAGTTCCTTCAAGCAGAGACTTTAATCAGTGAGTTGATTTTCTTGGTTTTGAATTACATACATCAAGGATTTTCTAGTCTCTACTGGTAATGTATTTTTTACCTTTTTCATACAAAACATTACATGTTTTTTGCTTTTTCAGCCAGAGCACATAATTTATCGAGTCAGTTATAAATATGTTATGGTACAGAAATTCTTTTAGTGAACAAGTTTTTAAAATGTCTTTTTTTTTTTTAAGTTACTGATTTTCTCAAGAAAAAGAAGTGCTATTATGCTATTAGTAGGATACAAATATCTGCGGTAATAACAACCTAATCTACATGAGAACAGGACAATTAAGGGGGGAAAGTGTATATTGCAGGAGCAGCGTCAACTAAAAGTGTAACTCCGGCATCTGTGTTTCCACTTACTTGATGAAAATTGCGAGGATTGATTATAAAGTAGAAAGAGGTTTCTTAAAATTCTAAAATGCGATCTGTATTTGTATTTTTCTAAAATACTGTGTCGGCATCCCTTCTGCAGTGGGATGCTCAGATTGAACAGATCTGGAAAACAAACATGAACCAATGTATTTACAGAACACGTGCATTAATTTGAATCTTCCATTCGCGTAAATCTCTCTGAAAAAGCTATTTGGAGGCTAAAAGTATCGAAAGGGAAGATCCTTTTTTTATGTGCAAACGTTCATTTACGTTACATGAACCGGTCACTTGAAGCATTAGAGTTTCAGTGTAATTTCAAGCGCTAACTTTCCAGTACACGATCTTAAACTCTCATCTGCTATTCATTTACCATTCAATTTTCGTATAACGCGTCATTGTGCAATCCTCATCCTGTAAATGAGGAAGCATTTTAATTCTATATGATCAATTCTCAAAACATCTTCCTTCTAACAGGTAAAGCTATTGAATTTCATGATAACTTGAGAAGGAATGCAAGATCAGCTTCTTGGAATAGTAGTTGCAAGAGAAAGACCAGATCTCGAAGGAGAAAAATAAGCCCTCATCCTTCAAGGGGCTGCAAATAAAAGGTATGAAGATAATTTCCCTTGCTAGGGACAGAAGCAGATTGCAGTTTAGGAAAATCAAAATCATTGGAAATTCTTTTCAGAGGCATTTTTTAATTGTTCTATTATTTAGGTCTGATTTAACTGGAAATTCAAGAGCATGATTTTTGAGAGCCCAGACTCGGCTCGTTTGGCTTTGAGACTGATCAGAACGCACGGTCTTTCTCGTACTCGTACCGTTTATGGCTTTTTGTCACAGACACAGTTTGCTATCTGTGGGATTGTAATAAAATATTGAAGAAGTTAGGGGGATGTGTCATCGTAGAGCAAACTCCTGATCCTGTCTCCTGTCTTTACATGTCCCTTTCAAGTTGTTATGAACGTGATTTGCTGTCCTCACAAATGTTGATGTTTTACAGTGGTTTTGTTTCCCACTGTGCATTATATTTGCTATTACTGCACATGCGGAAGGGATCTTTGCCCGCAGATCAAAGCATGAAACGTGTAGCATTCAAAATGTTGCGACACGTTCTCCCTTTGCAATGTTTATTTGGAGTCTGAAATTAGCTTAATTTTTCTGAAATTTAAGCCAACCCTTAACAACAGATACAAAAAAGTTTTCTTATGTAAGTTGCATACCGTGGCAAGAATCTTCGTGTAACCTTCTTCTGTAAAACTAGCAGAAAATTGCCAAATTTAATAAGCAAAAAAAAATTGTATTTTACCATAGGAAACTAAAAGAAATAGAAGATAAGATTTTAGAAGTTCCTTCGGCTTTTGAAGGAAATATTTCTGAGGATGAAACCGCTATTAAGATATTGTCTTCTTCCAGGGTTCCGGCTAACGAGATTTCTGAAAAGCAAGCCGTAGCTGAAGAAACAGAAAAGAAGATTGATGCCACTCGTGTGGGCTATCGTCCTATTGCTGTCCATTCATCAATTTTATTTTTTTTCTATCACCGATCTAGGCAATATTGAGCCGATGTATCAGTACTCTCTCATGTGGTTTATTAACATTTTCACCATGTCTATAGATAACTCAGAGAAATCAGAAGATTTACAAACAAGGTAAGAGGGATAATTTGCCATTTGTAATCGGTGACATTTTCGGTTAGTCTAGAAAAGTTATTGCCATTTCTGCGAAGCGTGTCCTGCAAAGCGTCACATCCTGAAACATTCCTTGTATATATCTGCCGGATATTTTTCTGGAAGACAATTTCTTCATAGAGACAAAATGGCATGATATAATACAAGTGCATCCTATTTCGCTATTTTATTTAGTAATTATAACTGTAGCCACGTGTGAAATTGCAAAGCAGCAGAGCGATTAAAATGGTCCGCTCACCTTAATTTTGTGTTTAATGTATTGACTTTGTATGCCTTCCCAAAGCAGATAAGAAACATTCACGCAACTGGTAAAAGAGAATGAAGTCTTGCGTCCGGGGCCCTAGGCTGTAGAGTAGGAAAAGCAGTAGTTATTAACCCAGCAAATGTTGGACTGTTTGATTACAGTTTTGTATGCTGGTCGTCCCTCCCTCTTCCATTTTTTCTTCACGAGAACGGGAGAAACTGCAATCTTCAATGATCTCATAAAAGCAAGCCCTGAATTTATTTTAAGTGTGATTGATTAAGGTTGCAGTAGGATTTTTCAAAATATAATACCGAAGGGAATTATCTACACTGAGATTTTCTTAAGAGATCTTTTCAGTATTCCATCAATTCAATTAATAAATTATATTTCGGCTTCTCCAGATCTGTGGATTAAATGCACGGAGCTTTGCTTTTCTAGCTTAGCTACTTCCGTGGTCATTCAGTGAAGGAAAGACAGGGGAAACTACTTCAGAAAAAACAGTTGGTGTTACAGATTACAATTTCTGAATTATCTGTCACAGTCTGTGTTTCATCTAAGTAGAAGTAAGGTACGGTTCCTGGTAAGGTAGCGCTTAACATAAAAGCGTTTGTTTTAATGGTGTACTGAGTTACAAAGGTTATTTTTTCATTAGAATTTAGTCAAGGTCTGTATAGTTCAATGTTAGCATACCCATTTTTATAAAGAATGCTACGCATTCAAGTCAGGCTTAATATTTTGTTATCATATTTGAAACTACGTTCAACTTATCCTTCTCCCAAAAGACAGTCTGCGTTCTATACACCTATCTCTTGGACTTTAAATTTTATGTGTTCTTGTCTCAAAAAAGCAGCCACACGCACCTATGTTCCTAAATCAAAGTAAGCAAGCGATAAGACAAAAGTTTTTTACTTAGTTTATTTGAAACAAAAACTTTGTGCTAGCAGAAATCGGAAGATGCGGGACCGGAATTCCAGCTGACAGCAGGCATTCCCAGGGCACGATCAGTGTAAGCTCATTTTCACAGCTTCGCCCATCAAAGACATAAAAAGGCAGACCTGCCAAGGCACAGAAAATTCTGTCAGTTAATAATTCACTTGGGATTTTTTTCTTGGGTCATCTCCACTAATCAGATGGTATTTGCTACTACACGCTCTAAGATTTTTGTATTTTTCTTCATTCTTTCTGTGTTTGACATAATTGTATGAATGCAGTTGCTCGGTTTCTAACCATCTGTAGAGGTTTTTCATTTCTTTTTGGCTGTTCTAACGTAATTCTTCGTGAAACGATGACCGATAAAACTGCATAGATGGATTCTTTTATTTTATTTAAAGAAAATAATCAACAGTCATAAGTTTTTCATATATTTGCGATTATAGCATCTGTAGAATAGGAAATGGATTACAGAAGGTGATTAAAAGTCAGCGGTTTGGATTTGAGCTGTGGTGTTCTTGTTCATAAAGAATCTTAAGATTGTTGTTCTTTTCACCACTCCAAAAGGAGACGTTTCCTTGGCAAAATGTGTCGGGGAGTCATAGTGGCAAAACCGTACAAGTTGATAACAACTTTTCAGGTTTTAATAACATCCAAAGTCTGATTCTTAGGGTTCAGGTTTTACAAAATTGTACTCTAACATATTCCGAATTCTAAAAGCATATAAAAATGAATTGTGAGAGGCAATTTAAGAAATCAGTCATCTTTACTTAAAGCGTTAAATGTTGTTAATTTTTTTACAGGGAATTGCTGAAAGCAAACGTGAATTTTGTTTTTACTAATTCTTTACAAAATATTTTTTTACTAGGATTTTTTTCTTTCTTTTTTTTTTAATTCACGATGAAATATACTCACTTCAACCTCAATATCCACAAAGCAGTACTTCTTAATATTGCTCGGTGGTTTCACAGTATCACGGAAGCATTAGAATGAATACTTTCAAGAGCTGACACAGCTATGGACAAGCTGCTTGCATTTACAAAATTCAAGCCGTCAAAGTTTTGAGAAAAAAGAATGAGACAGGTAATAGACCAATAGTTGGACTCGCATTATAGTAAAAAGTTTTCAAACTGTGCTGTCCCACGAGGTATTTCCAGGATGGGTTTTGGGTTTATTTGCTTTTTCTGCTTCAAAATGTTGGGAATTAAGAACAAATCTAACGTTGTCTTAAACTGCTCCTTCCTCCAATTGAAAAACACAAATGAAAATCCTCTTAAAATCAGCTTTTATGTTAAGTTTTCCAGTTCCTCAAATTCATTGTTAACTGAAAATCAGACACTAATTGCTTCGGGTAGGGATCTTTTTCAACTAGTCTAAGAAATTCCATAAGCATGGTGATTTCCTATAGAGCATATTAAAACTATCAAATTTTATTTGGTTAGTTCTGAGAGCAGCATTTTTCCCACAGATTAACGAGGATGAGTGGAAATTCCCGTTGACCGGTGGCATAGGCTTGGACAGGACAGGATGAAATCTGTCGGCTAGAAGACTTGCCGTGCTTCGCAAGCATTCGTAAGGATTTTACGCGACTTAAAGACGGATGGAAAACCATGTACGACAGCTTGGTACGTTAACATTCCCAATTGCTTGCTTCCATAAGCTAATTAACTCATCAAATACATTTATTTTGAGAAAATGAAGTATTGTCATTTTACAGGGTTGGTTTCCGCATATATGAAAGTAAAAATTTAAGCAAACGGCGTGGAGGGGCAGATTACTGCCAGTTTGTCAGGTGGCTACTGAATAGCAGGTGACAATTTGAATTGGGCTGGAGTAACCTGTAGAAGTAAGGCGACAGTGAAATTAGCTAAATTCGCGTCAGCCACTGTTGCCTTCTCGGTATGCCCATTTGTTCACCAGGCTTTGAGGATGCCTTTTCGTACCATCACATAGGCATTCAGCTTTTTTGGGTAAATTTAAAAAACAACGGCAACAAAAACAACCGTAACGTTTTGTAAGTACTCAAGTGGGATTCAGGAGACCTGCGTCCTATTCCAAAGTGACAGATAGGCACAAATGATTTCTTTAAATATTTTCACAACCGTTCACTCAAAATTGAGCCCCTGTAGAGGACTTGCACTCCACTTTTAGGCACTTGCTTTATCTTACTGTCAACTTTTCTCGGCGCTTATTTTACCATACCGCTTCTCTTCTGCTTTTAGTTACACCAAGCTCTCACTGTACACTCAATTCCTGATCCAACTATTTTAAAAACTACCATTAAAAATTACGGCTCCTTCAGTTGTCCAGATAGCAGGAAACAGGCAAATAGCAGAAATTAAGCTTGCCTTAAGTATTTACATAACTTACACAGTAAGTTGAGATCTTCAGTTCATCTTCCAACACTAGCCATTGAGAAACCGAACATGGAAATTACAGGCTTTGAAACAGAGGGCGAGCAGACTACTTCATTATCTACACTAAGATTACGCCATCTTAAAGTAAAGGTGCTGACTTGCAGAAGAAAAGAATCAGGGTCCACGTATTGACCACTAACCGCATTCAAAGAGACAAACTGAAATAAACAGAAATGTCTTCACTTAAACATCATTCAAAAAAATAAGATCTACACTGTCAGGTCATCAGTTAAATGATTTAAAAAAAAAATCTAAACAATTAGTACACCACAACTCGGACCACCATTACTGAACCCCGAACGGTATATACATTGCCTGTCACCGTCTCGATCTGGAAGAGGCGTTAGGCCTCTTACTCATTATAAAAGCATTTTCTTTCAGCATTCAGCTTCAACAATAATACTTTGCTGTGAAAGCACTGGAATGTTGAGAAGTGCTAGTTAACAGGTCTCAGTAAGCATTTTTCTCTGGTAGAGGCCATCTTTTTCACCAGTACGGTTTATCCCCAGCAACGCACAACCAGGCAAAGTGCAGTTTCATCTACGAAAGGAGGAGAAAGAGGGTGCAAAATGACTTCAAGCACCCTCGTCATAAATAACAGTATAATGAATACAGCTGTCTCAAGATCATCAGAAAACTATTTGACGTTAGCTTCTCCTACTCTTGCAACTCAGGTGTCTTCCAAAAGCAGAGAAGACCTGACTTGAGCTCCCTGCTCCAAGAGTTCCATGCATTTTGACTAAAGTTAAGCTCTGTATCATAGAGCAGGGACCGAAACTTGGTTTCCCCCAGCCAGCCGGCCCACTTAACCTCAAAGCTTACTGCTGCATCTCTGCTTCTCGTGGAGAAGCAAACAGTTTTTGGCAGTAGCACAACTCATTGCAGTCTTCGGTGCAACCTTCAATCGTTAGCATTTCTTAATTTTCTCAGTGAAACCGAACTAGCACTTTTTCAGCTGTGCTCTTAAAGAGTAGTTAGTGTTTTCACAGCGACATATCTATTTCCACCATATATTAATTGAAAATTAAAATTAGAATCGAGAACGCTGCACTAAGTGCTAAGAAATCATGGAGAGGTTCAGAGTCCAGGCCCTTTGAGGAACGCAAGCTCCATTGCAAATGGATTTTGTAAATCAAAGTTGCTCAGAACCTTTAGTCCACCCGCACACCTCTGTGCCCGGCCCTTTACACACTAGCCTAAGTTGCCCCGGTGCGGCCATAACAGCAGTGGCCAGCTAGCGTTGTACTGGAGTAAGTTAACATACACCGCGCGCTCATTGTTATTCCAGTGTAGTAACTGCTGTCACGTAGCTGGAATATTCATAATCTGCTTACAAAATGAGTTCTGGGGCATTCTTTGACTCGGTTTTTCTGTTCAATTTCACTCAGATCCGCATAAATACCGATTGTCATATAATAGCGTAGCATTTCCTGTACCTCATCTTTCACCTGCTTTCTTCCTAGAGAAGAGAGGAACTGGGGTAGTTACATTTTAAATACCTGAAAGTGAGTGGCTTCTCTGCTACAGTAGATGCTAGATATACTTTATGTTATTTTCCCTCATTTAATGTTTTTCCTTAAAAAAAAAAAAAAAAAAAAGTCCCATTCCCGCAGATTTTTAAGTACAGTGTGAACTGATGTATAGAGTTAAGATAATCAACAATTCATGTAATTCACAAATGCTTTAGAGAAAAATGAAATATTTATGTTTATAGGATGCTCAGCACAAGGATTTTCCTGCAGAGTGGCAAGCAAAGTTGGGTGAATTCCAACGGATGCTCATCATTCACTGTCTGAGACCTGAGAAGGTACGTACAAGGCTACCGTCTTATTTAAAAAAAAAAACAAAAAACACGTGTATTTTAGAAACAAAAAACATTTGCAAATATGCTTTTCAACTGAGTTGCTGCGGTTTAGCTCTAGCTGGCAGCTAAGCGCTACGTGTACGCTTGCTCAGTACTCACAGTGAGACGGAGGAGAGAAATGGATATGGTAAGACTGTGAAAGTTCATGCTGAGGTAGTCTGTTCACCAGGTAGAAGTCACAATAAGATAAATGCTGTTGTTCCAAACGTACCCTCTCCTCCTTCTTTACCCTAGATTTTACATATGTAACAATAGAACACAGAATATACCTTTGGTTAGTCTAGAAACTAGCTACATCTCCTCCCAGAGAAGTGTAATGAGCAGACTTATTAACATAGAAGGATAGGTCTTGAGGTTTTTTTTTTTTTTTTTTTTTTTTAAACGTTTTACTGCATACACCAAAATCTCCTGAGCATTTCCAGCTCAAGATCATCTTATGAGACTAGTGACTTTCCCTTTTTATTATGTCTGACAACTTGGCTTGCATAAGTTTTTCACATCGCTATCCAAGGTCAATTAGACTGGTGTAGGAAGATAATTTAACAGTAGCGTAGACTGTTAAGTAGTAATTACTGCAGACACCCAGATCCATTTTGTTCTACAGAAAGTATTTTGATTCAGGACCATTACGAGCGTCTGGCTCAAAGACTCGAATAAGGCGTAGATCGCAACAGGTACTCACCATTAGTCATCTTTATTCAAAAGTCAGCCCACGAAAAGCAAAATAAAATCACTTACGTATTTATCATACATTCACAGGTTATCGGGACTAGCATTAGCCCATGCCTAGTCCTGAGAAAACATTTTGCAAAAAGAGAGAAATAAATCGGTTGCTACTTCTGCTCTAGAGAGCCTATTAAGAAATTCTCCACGCTTCCTCAAACTGCTGTTTAGCTTAATATTAGTATTTGTACCAGAATAAAAATATTTTTACCATATTAAGAGAAAAAAAAAATGTCAGAGTCGTATTCAACTTCTGGACTCGTCATAGGAGCTTTCAGAAGGTTGGCAAGTCAGATCGGCTCGGGTGGGCGCCGGTGGCCATGGCGTATATCGATGTTTGGAGACAAAGTTATCTAAGAGACGCTTCCTAGTTGCAGCAACTTCTTCTTCAAAGGCGTTTATTACGCGTCTGCCGGTTTTGCACTTAAAGCAAAGCAAAAGATTAAGATTTTCAGATGAGTAACTTAACTGTCCAATTTAGAGGGGTTCAGAACTTAGATCCTCAAGAGGTCATTTATCCGCTACTGATCTTAGCTTAGAAGTATGCTTTCTATGAGCAGTACCACTGTCTGAATGGCGCACAATAGTCCATCAGGTGATTCGTGCAAATGTCACCATCAATTCAGAAACTTTTCCACCAGCCTCGCCAGTGGGGTTCAGTTCAGCGATTTTAATTTTTGTTTTTTTAATAGATTTAGCAAACTTGGAAGTTGCAAGCCCGTCGTTTAGCTACACTTTAAATCGCATCGCGGAGAGAGTGCTGAATTTAGTTTTACTTTAGGTAATAACTTTTTACGATTTGCCCAGCTTCTGAGGTATCATACCGCTTCCAATAAAGCGGACCGCTCCTGTTTTTAGCTATTTGAGCACTATGTATTCTTGTTGTAATCTTGACAGCCACCAGATATGTTTTCAGTAGGAGACCCTATAAGCAAAATAAAGATCTATTGCGCAACGCCACAAAGAGCTTAGACGACGAATAAGGGGCACAGTTAGCACTCCCCATCAGAGAGTTTGGCTCACTTAGTTCTCTATTATTATCCATAGAATTAAGAGAGGGCATATCAAAAGCCATTAATTAAACAAGCTCAGATATACGTGCTTCAGTATACGTCAGCAGCACGGCCCGCACAAATACCGTAGGGACGATCAGAACTCAAGAACCGTGACTCATTCGGAAGAAGCTTTAAAGTCTGGTAGTGTAATTGCACAGAGATTCTGTATAAAGCTAGAGACAAAAAGCAGCAGCCCGACCAAGTCTTATTTTGTCAGGTGTCTTCCTTCTGAGAAAAGATAGAGCTGCTAATTGTAGTTTCTGGGAACGACTACCACGCACCGAAGTTCATTTTTCTACTGTAATGAGTTGTTGGGTGAACAGTCTGAACTAAACTAAGTTTTCTTCCAAAAGCTAGACAGTAAACTAGGTTTGGAAGGGCTAGAGGTGCAGGTTACTTAGCAAATAAGGCACTTTAATTGTCAATTCCAAGTTAGTCCTATTCTGGCATTACGCCATCATTTCTTCCCTAGCATTCAACCGTCTTCAGAAAGGAAAGAGTTGTGGGTTTTTCTTGTTTTTTGTTTTTGTTTGTTTGTTTTTACATAGTTCAGCTTTGCATTTTAAGACTACTTCGTTAACACTTACAAGGAAGGTTCTTAGCCGCATCATTTCCAGCATGTAGTACTCCTCCATTGTCAGTTCATCAAACTGCTTAGTAAGAGATAAAAATCCACAGCTACGACGTTTGGCATGTTCCTCCCTGCAGTGTGAGCCCAGAACAAGATCGGTTATTAAAGCCAAGAAAATTGCACTTCAAGAGGCGTAAAAAGCAGACAGGTTTCTTCAGTATTTCTGTGTATGGGCAGGGAGGCATTTAGCAGATAACATCTGAAAGATAATTCAACCTATATTAGATAAAAACCAGTTGAGCAAGAAGCAGTGCGAGGCAAGATCTAGGCTGACTTCACAGCATTGGTAGAAGTTATTTTCCGCTTGGTAAATCGAAAACGTTCTCTTAGGATGCAAAAGGAGAAATGAAAAGCCATAGAAAGTATAATTATCAAGTGCGTCAAGGTTTAAGATAGGATAAACTTTTGGTAGGCTTCAGTTTAGTGAAATGCTAGAAAACTTGTTAATTTTGTAATAAATAAGGGGGCGTTGTCAAGGAGATTTAAAGAAATATTTAACACGGTTAAGCCTGCGCTTACCACGGGTCATCATTAGGTTCCCAGCCCTCCAGTTCTATCAAGCAAAAGAAACATTTTGCCACATCTGGTTCATTTCCACTTGGGCAGTGAATGAAGCCCGCCTTTGCCATCTGCAAGAGATAGTTCAGAAGTTTAGAACTTCATTCAACACGTGGCTCGTGCTCGCATCTAACCATCACAAAGAACTTGTGGTAATGTCTTTCCCTGCCATATCTGTCCACACAGATCCAGCTGAAAAAAAGTTTTAAGAGCGAGAGCTGCAAGGGGATACGTAATTAGTAAAGGAACAAGGAATGATCAGGTGTAGGGAGCAGGTTTCTACACAGTTGTTCGTTGGCAGGCTACCTGAGTACCTTTGGTATTTCGGAGATTAGCTAGCTCATCTACAGATGCATTCTTCTACCTGAGCACATAACGTGCTCTAGCTAAGAACAATTTTTTTTTTTTTTAATCCTGGAAAAAAAGATTTAGCACGAGGCTACTGCCACTGAAAACCCTTACGTATAAGCTGCATGAGTTGAGTGCTGTACTTTACTGTCAGTTTAGAACAGCATCGGGTAAGACAACTGAAAAAGTAGTTGGTTTCAGTTATCAAGCTTCACTTCTTAGACAATTCCCTTAGCGCAGTTTAGCTGAGATTTAACCCAGTTGTTTGATACTTGTGCCAAACCAGAAGCTCAGTCTCCTATTTACAACTCTGAAATCGAAGCTTGCAAGGGCGTAAACATTAAAGCATTAAGTTTATTAAAGTTAAGATGATTTTATTTTTTGATATTAGATTCACGTAGCAATCATTTCACTACTTCATCCTTCCTGCTAGATGAAGTAGAACAGTCTTCTAAGCTTCTTTCCAAAAAGAGAATCTGCAAGTAGACACACAACATAATACAAAAAGTAACCATAACTTTGGAATATAAAAAACTGTAGGTAGATCAGCAAACTAAACACATAAGCTTGTAATCATTCCGCTGCAGTATCTCAGAGTACAGACAAATCAGACCACCCAGCTTATCATCTCAGGTTAAGCAGAGGCTCACAACACCTCTTGAACGTAAGCATACTAACACGAGGAACTTCATTTTCACAGCATACCAAAAACAGGACAAGGTCAAAGTAACCTTTATCAGACTCACATTCTCTGGAGAGCACTTGCAGTTCTTCACAAAAGGCCAGTTAGCAAAGGTTTTTAAGCGATTTTCATAATCGTACATCTCTTTAAACTCATGCAGAAGTTTTGAAGCTGAAAGGAGCTCTTCCAGAAGCGTCTCCATCGGTGCAGGTTGTAGGGAGCGTATGTCAGAGCTCCTGTCTTCCCAGGTCTCCAATTTAAGGTATTTTCCTAATTGGTGACAAGCTACACCTGTGAAGCAGAGCGGCTTTAAAGTAAGTGAGAACACATGGGTGAGAGTAGGAGCGTGAAGAGTGGGAAACAAGTCTTCTCTTGTTTCAGGTATGTAATGTTTTATACTGTATATTTATTAATTATAAGAAATGATATTTATAACATATGATTACAATGATTTTTATATTGTTTTTTTAATTGTGATGTTGAAAATGTAAGTGAGAAGCTTATAGAAATTCAATAGTTTTGTGTAGAGGTTATATAGAAATTAATAAAGCCATACAGGATGCAACAAAAGCAGTTGAAGCAGTTCTGGTGTTTTTGAAATGTTTTGAATTACTTGAATTTCATGTTTAGGGGTTAAAATTTTATATTGTGGTTGTTGTTGTTGTTGGATCTTTGTAATAGTGGGTTTTTAATTATGCAATATCTGTGTGTTTTAAGGTGTATTAGTTAAGAGAAAAAAAACAAGTGGTGACTTCAAAGAGAAATGTATTTGTAGATGTTCATAGTTGCTGAAGTTTCAAATTATTTTCTTAAAAAAGGTTTTGCATTTACATTAAGGTACTGTGTTTATTTCTCAGTAATAAATTAAAAAGGTATGATATTGTCCTTTGGTGCAGTTTGTAAAACCAAGGTATTATGACTCCTGAAACTAGTTCGATTAAGGTATTAGAAAGGTAAAACGCTCTTCGCAATTCAAATTACACGCACGCGGGCGGATTTCCAGGCTCTTACGTCCGCATGTTACTTTGTTCAGGTGCAGGATAGAAACGGTGTGGAGGGTCGCTTATTTCAGCCATTGTAGGGCACATTTTTATTACAAGACTGTTCTGGTTTCGCTTTATCTATTCTAAGCCATTTTCCTGGGACTAAATCGGTGCTTCATTTTCTGTGTAGCTGTACTCTCCTCGTGGCTTATAGTAAGCTGTTCAAAGCAGTATAGGAACACTCGCATATCAACAGGACATTGAGATTTTATTGCTTCTTTTTTTAGGGAATACCAATGGCACAGAAATTCATCATTCGCAACCTGGGCCGTCTGTTTATCAAGCCACCTCCATTAGATTTGCGGAGAGCGTTTTCTGACTGCCACTCTTGCGCACCACTAATATTGTAGGTTCTCACGGTGATGACCCCAGACTGCCACTCTTGCGCACCACTAATATTGTAGGTTCTCACGGTGATGACCCCAAGGCAGCGCTCATTAAGTTTGCTGATAATCAGGTATTGTAATATCTCCCTTTTTTTTTTTTTCTTTTTTTTTTTTTAAGGTAAACAATGCATTTCCATGTGTCTTTGCGTGTTTGTATAAATAGCGAATTGAGTAGAAATTGAAATGCCAAAACAAGCTCAGAAAACCTTTTTTAGGTGCCTTAGAACATGTTAAAAGGGATCTTGTGGTTCTCCTTAAGGGGAAGCATTAACTGTCAGGCAGTGTAGTAACATAGCATCTTAAGATCACGGGTGGCATTTGCACTTAAAAATTAGTTAAGTGCATTCTTACTTGTTTTGACTATGATTTTATTTAAAGCAAACAAACTAGCAAAAATCCTAGCAATAGAAATCAGTACTTTTGTAAAAAGGGTTGTTATTCTGAAGCTCCTAGATTTCCTGGAGATAGATTTCTTGCACTGCTCGCCTGCGACCACCAGCGTTCTTAGCTGTTGAGCGGCAGCGAAGGAAGGAGCATGGATAGTTCTGCCTAACTGCCGTTTGGGGAGCTCCAGTATTTCAGAATCTGGCTGACCAGCTACCCGTCTGCCACGTTTCTAGCATCCGTTCTTCAGAAGGGAGTCAAGATGACAAACGAAGCACCGAAGGATTTACGGGCGAACAGACTTTGTTCATATCTGATGGATCACGTACCTGACCCTAATTTTTAAAACAGCTGCAGAAAAATGGTTAGTAATGCGGCGGCGGCCTTACTTTGCGAAGGGGTTAAGGAAGACGGTGACCACCTAAGTTAGCTCTCGGGGAAAAAAGGTTGCAAGTTAAATAGTTGTTCTGTATTGCGTTCAAACTGCTTTTGATTGTCGGTAGCAGAAAAGGAAGAATTTTTTGTTTTCTGTTTGTCTCCTACTTCAGCAGTGGCTTTGATAAAACGTGTCTTGAAAAGAAATGAATTGAGAAGCGCACTATTTGCCATTGCAAATCTGCAGTGTTGTTCTCACACAAGTTTTAAGCTGTTGCTCTCTTGAATCGTGATGGCCAATGGAATTTGTAGCATTATTACATAAATGCCCTTCCCGGTGCTGGCTGTTTTTATTAGGGCTCAGAAAGCTGCATTTTCTGGGTTAGATTTCTGTGCATCAGCTTATTTGACCAGAAAGTATTTGCCATTGTTTATCTGTTATAGCACAGTTGTTTTAAAAGCAATGTGATACTTTGCTGAAATGTTTTCAATTGCAAACAAAGCCAACGTAAGCTTCGTAGGTGTCGCGCAGATGATGTGCGAGGTTGCTTTGTGACAATGTAGGATTTTTGTTTTTTTTTTTTTCTGTACTATTGTTGTAAAGAATAAGCGGTGTTACATAAGAGGAAAGTAGCTCAAGTGTAGTATAAATAGTGAAATATTAAGTATAGAGATCAGACTAAGTACTGAAGCAGTCGCAGATCAGGAGATCTACGCTATAAGAGGGAACCATCAGTTAGAAATAGTGGTTTGTTAAGGTTTTTAGAGAACGCTGGTTGACTTTAAATTAGATGATAGCAATAGTAACGTGGCTGTCGGGTTAAGTTACAGGTTGTGGCTGAATATTTTTTGTTTTTTTCTCTAGGAGATGCCATAAAATGCTTTTTGCTACATGACCAGGGAATGTAAGTATGTCGGCAGAGTCACTGACAACTGGGATCGCTGCGTACTACTTAGCATTTTGAAGACATTTTTCTCACCAGAAGTCATTACAAGTAGAGATGACGAATTTGATTCGAGCGGCCTTCGCCGTGTTCTTCCTGAAGGTGAGGTAAATATCTGAAAGTCGCAAATTTACTAGAAGCTTTCTTGGAATTAAGAGCTGGCCTAATTGAAACAATACTGCATATATGATTATGTACATATATATTTTTGTGTGTCTGTGTGCATATATATAAATACACACACATATATATATATACGCGTGCAAATGTATACAGAAAAATATATATGTATATAAAATGCATGTGCTTAAGCTTTTGTTGAGTAGTGCTTTGTTGCTGGTATCATTGGTAGCGTTTTAGTGACCGGTAAGGTATGGAAATAATGGTAAAGAAGGAAATGAAATAGTAGTCAGATATAGTACAGCTTTCTGAAGCGTGCAGCGTGCACTATTTGGTACAGTTAGAGCTTGGTAGAGCGACTTAGCTCGCTTAAGTTGAAAGGTTGTTAAGCTTGTGTAAGAGAATGAGTTGTTCAGGGTTGTCTGTGGTGGCAAGGACCTTGTCATCAATAAGTTGATGAAACAGCTGAGTTAATAGAAGAGTCAGCAGCACCTACTTGCAGGGGAAGCTCAGCAAGTGGAGGACTTTGTTTCCTTGTTTTAGCGAGGGCAGTGTTGATTACGGATCAAGGAAGCAGCTTAGAGGAAATTTAGGGGTCCTGTCAGCTGTTTACAGTGCTAACTGTTCATGTACAGTCTTGGGATGTGTATCTGTTTTATTTTCAGATACTGTGTGCAAGTTGGGGTTCTAGTGGTTTTGAATGGTAGCTTCTGCAGTATTAAATTGAAAACCTTTTTCTTTTGAGTAAACAAAAATGAAATGTTAGGTCAGGGCAACTTTGTTTTTTTTCAGTGTGTTCTGTTACAACATTTCTAATATATATTATGGTCTAGGGCAGCTGGTACAAGTGCCAAATCTATGTACTATGTTGCTCATGATGTTGTTTATGATGTGACAGGTGACATCTGGAGTAAACTTCCCTCTGACTTGGATGACATAAGGAGAAGATAATGAACCACTTAAAGCGACAGTATGAATCACAGAATGGTGGAATCAGAATCACAATGTTGGAAACAATGTACAAGATGATCCAGTACAACTGTGTGTCACCATAAGCACTCAATCATATCAGGAAGCATGTTGCCCATGTGTCTCATGGAGTGTGTCTGGGAATGGCACTATGTGTGTGTAATTGTGTTCCTATTCCAGAAATGGGACCATTAAACAGGAATCAATAAAGTGTCAGTGTACAGAAACATATGAAGGTACATACAACACTGCCCAATTTCATATTCCATAACCATATTTCTGCACACAAAATGGGCGAACCCGTTCCTTCGTTCCTTCGTTCCTTCGTTCCTTCGTTCCTTCGTTCCTTCGTTCCTTCGTTCCTTCGTTCCTTCGTTCCTTCGTTCCTTCGTTCCTTCGTTCCTTCGTTCCTTCGTTCCTTCGTTCCTTCGTTCCTTCGTTCCTTCGTTCCTTCGTTCCTTCGTTCCTTCGTTCCTTCGTTCCTTCGTTCCTTCGTTCCTTCGTTCCTTCGTTCCTTCGTTCCTTCGTTCCTTCGTTCCTTCGTTCCTTCGTTCCTTCGTTCCTTCGTTCCTTCGTTCCTTCGTTCCTTCGTTCCTTCGTTCCTTCGTTCCTTCGTTCCTTCGTTCCTTCGTTCCTTCGTTCCTTCGTTCCTTCGTTCCTTCGTTCCTTCGTTCCTTCGTTCCTTCGTTCCTTCGTTCCTTCGTTCCTTCGTTCCTTCGTTCCTTCGTTCCTTCGTTCCTTCGTTCCTTCGTTCCTTCGTTCCTTCGTTCCTTCGTTCCTTCGTTCCTTCGTTCCTTCGTTCCTTCGTTCCTTCGTTCCTTCGTTCCTTCGTTCCTTCGTTCCTTCGTTCCTTCGTTCCTTCGTTCCTTCGTTCCTTCGTTCCTTCGTTCCTTCGTTCCTTCGTTCCTTCGTTCCTTCGTTCCTTCGTTCCTTCGTTCCTTCGTTCCTTCGTTCCTTCGTTCCTTCGTTCCTTCGTTCCTTCGTTCCTTCGTTCCTTCGTTCCTTCGTTCCTTCGTTCCTTCGTTCCTTCGTTCCTTCGTTCCTTCGTTCCTTCGTTCCTTCGTTCCTTCGTTCCTTCGTTCCTTCGTTCCTTCGTTCCTTCGTTCCTTCGTTCCTTCGTTCCTTCGTTCCTTCGTTCCTTCGTTCCTTCGTTCCTTCGTTCCTTCGTTCCTTCGTTCCTTCGTTCCTTCGTTCCTTCGTTCCTTCGTTCCTTCGTTCCTTCGTTCCTTCGTTCCTTCGTTCCTTCGTTCCTTCGTTCCTTCGTTCCTTCGTTCCTTCGTTCCTTCGTTCCTTCGTTCCTTCGTTCCTTCGTTCCTTCGTTCCTTCGTTCCTTCGTTCCTTCGTTCCTTCGTTCCTTCGTTCCTTCGTTCCTTCGTTCCTTCGTTCCTTCGTTCCTTCGTTCCTTCGTTCCTTCGTTCCTTCGTTCCTTCGTTCCTTCGTTCCTTCGTTCCTTCGTTCCTTCGTTCCTTCGTTCCTTCGTTCCTTCGTTCCTTCGTTCCTTCGTTCCTTCGTTCCTTCGTTCCTTCGTTCCTTCGTTCCTTCGTTCCTTCGTTCCTTCGTTCCTTCGTTCCTTCGTTCCTTCGTTCCTTCGTTCCTTCGTTCCTTCGTTCCTTCGTTCCTTCGTTCCTTCGTTCCTTCGTTCCTTCGTTCCTTCGTTCCTTCGTTCCTTCGTTCCTTCGTTCCTTCGTTCCTTCGTTCCTTCGTTCCTTCGTTCCTTCGTTCCTTCGTTCCTTCGTTCCTTCGTTCCTTCGTTCCTTCGTTCCTTCGTTCCTTCGTTCCTTCGTTCCTTCGTTCCTTCGTTCCTTCGTTCCTTCGTTCCTTCGTTCCTTCGTTCCTTCGTTCCTTCGTTCCTTCGTTCCTTCGTTCCTTCGTTCCTTCGTTCCTTCGTTCCTTCGTTCCTTCGTTCCTTCGTTCCTTCGTTCCTTCGTTCCTTCGTTCCTTCGTTCCTTCGTTCCTTCGTTCCTTCGTTCCTTCGTTCCTTCGTTCCTTCGTTCCTTCGTTCCTTCGTTCCTTCGTTCCTTCGTTCCTTCGTTCCTTCGTTCCTTCGTTCCTTCGTTCCTTCGTTCCTTCGTTCCTTCGTTCCTTCGTTCCTTCGTTCCTTCGTTCCTTCGTTCCTTCGTTCCTTCGTTCCTTCGTTCCTTCGTTCCTTCGTTCCTTCGTTCCTTCGTTCCTTCGTTCCTTCGTTCCTTCGTTCCTTCGTTCCTTCGTTCCTTCGTTCCTTCGTTCCTTCGTTCCTTCGTTCCTTCGTTCCTTCGTTCCTTCGTTCCTTCGTTCCTTCGTTCCTTCGTTCCTTCGTTCCTTCGTTCCTTCGTTCCTTCGTTCCTTCGTTCCTTCGTTCCTTCGTTCCTTCGTTCCTTCGTTCCTTCGTTCCTTCGTTCCTTCGTTCCTTCGTTCCTTCGTTCCTTCGTTCCTTCGTTCCTTCGTTCCTTCGTTCCTTCGTTCCTTCGTTCCTTCGTTCCTTCGTTCCTTCGTTCCTTCGTTCCTTCGTTCCTTCGTTCCTTCGTTCCTTCGTTCCTTCGTTCCTTCGTTCCTTCGTTCCTTCGTTCCTTCGTTCCTTCGTTCCTTCGTTCCTTCGTTCCTTCGTTCCTTCGTTCCTTCGTTCCTTCGTTCCTTCGATCCTTCGTTCCTTCGATCCTTCGATCCTTCGTTCCTTCGTTCCTTCGTTCCTTCGATCCTTCGTTCCTTCGATCCTTCGTTCCTTCGTTCCTTCGTTCCTTCGTTCCTTCGTTCCTTCGATCCTTCGTTCCTTCGTTCCTTCGTTCCTTCGTTCCTTCGTTCCTTCGATCCTTCGATCCTTCGTTCCTTCGTTCCTTCGTTCCTTCGTTCCTTCGTTCCTTCGTTCCTTCGTTCCTTCGTTCCTTCGATCCTTCGTTCCTTCGTTCCTTCGTTCCTTCGATCCTTCGTTCCTTCGATCCTTCGTTCCTTCGTTCCTTCGATCCCTCGATCCCTCGATCCCCCGATCCCCCGATCCCCCGATCCCCCGATCCCCCGATCCCCCGATCCCCCGATCCCCCGATCCTTCGATCCCCCGATCCCCCGATCCCTCGATCCCCCGATCCTTCGATCCCCCGATCCCCCGATCCTTCGATCCCCCGATCCCCCGATCCCATCACCTCCCTTCCCCACTCCTCCCATTGTTCCCTCTTCTTCTCATTCAACCCTTCGCTGCTTTCTTACCCCACCCTCCCCTCCTATGTTCCTCTCCCTATTTACTTCATTCCCTCTTCTCCTTGTTCTCTCTTTCTCCCTCTTTTTTTCCTCGCCTTTTTCCTTCTTCTCTCGTTCCCCACCTCCACCCTTCCCTCTTTCCTGACACTCCCCTTCCTTTCCCTGTTCCTCCCTCCCACCCCTCATTAACACACACACACTTTTACTCAGAGTATTTTATTGCGGCCTTTTTTTTTTTTTTAGGGGGAAGTAGTGATGTCGGCTGAACTGGAAGAAGTGGTGAACAGCATTTTGAAAGGCAAAATTCCAGGACTGTGGATGATTAAGTCCTATCCCAGTCTCAAGCCTCGGGGCAGCTACATGCATGATTTTTTAAGTAGACTTAAGTTCCTACAGGTAGACACGCTCCCATCTTCATTTTTCTTTGTGGAATTCTGCAGCTTACAGGGGTCAACCACGGGGTACAACTGTTAACAACCCCCCAGCACCCTTTCTGTCCAAGGTGATCGACCCATCAAATCCCCATCCTTCTAGTTCAGACTTAAGGGTGGAAGACCCTGTCAGTGGCCCTGCTGAAGTGCGCAGCAGTGCTGTCTGTTAGCACCCCTCTCACCACAAGCTACACATCGGTTAAGCACAATCTTCCCCTTCTGAAGTGCCCCTGGCTGTCTCGGATCTCTCATTCTTTGTGCCATCTTACCAAGGAAATTCTGTTCCATGTTCTTCTTTTGTCCTGGCGTAGAGGGGTGTGACCGCTCCTCCACTCACAACCTGGAATCTGTTACATTGAGATCAAGTAATAGCTTTCAGTGGAATTCAGCTGGATCAACTTAATGCCAAACTGTGGGTCCTTTCACTTGTAAAATTACAGCTCGCCCAAGCTGACCTTTATCAATCACCTCACTGCTCAGCCCTTTTCTATACCTTAGTCATCTCTAGTGCCTGAGGACAACAGGTGTTCATCCTCTAATGAGACTGTCACACCACAAACGCTGAAATACACCTTACCGTGACTTCTGGTTTCATCTGGGACTGAGTTATTTTCTTTTTAGTTCGGGTTCTAGAGAAATATGCTGTTTATGTAAGGCTCCCATGTTTTAGTTGTTGCTGAGCCTTGTGAAGAATACCACAGAGTCACCCTTGAATGCATCAAAGGTTAAATTACTCGGGCTGTTAAGTCGCTTTCTAAAAACTACCAAAAACATATGCTTCCCCATTCTGTCCTCTCTTGCTGCTGCAGATGTGGTATGAAAACGGAATGCCACCCGTCTTCTGGATTTCAGGATTCTTCTTCACGCAAGCGTTCTTAACTGGTGCCCAGCAGAACTATGCCAGAAAGTACACTATTCCAATAGACCTGTTAGCATTTGACTATGAAGTGCTGGAAGATAAAGAATATCACATTGCTCCAGACGATGGTACGTAAACCAAGCATTAGTTAGCATTACTTTGCAAACACAAGAGTTCAGCAGTTAAGTTACTGAGTGTAATTAAGTAGCAACACAACATACAGAAAGGCCCTGTTCCCCCACCAAACACACAAAATACACAAGAAGCAAAATGCTACATAAAACATTGCAGGACTCCAATTTTGCCTGAAGGGATAAAATATCATCAACACAGAGTAGTTCTTACCCCCTAGCTCCCCACTGCAACTAAAACTTCCAAGCACTATTAGCTTGCTCTTATTTTTTTCCAGTTACACAACTTGCATGATTTTCCTAAACCAATGAAAGCAAAGCCATTGGCTGTCGCCTGCTCTTGCTTCACTACCCCTCGCAAAATAAGTTGTGGATACGGCTAGGATGCGCAGTACAGAACTATGTTCTTAAACACTACTTAGTCGGTCTCCTGTCTGCAGAAAAATGAAGCATTAAACTGATCAGTTCGTAATACAATGGCTTATGAGGAAGAGAAGATCATCAACCTCTTTCTAATACTTTCAAGAGAATCCCTTTGACCAGGGCTTGTGAGAAGAAGGCTTGGGCAGGGTGCTTAGGAAAACATCACCCCATCAGTTTCAACTTCTCATCATTTTCAAAATTCTTTTTGTAATTTTTATAATGTTTACTTATTAAAATTTATATTTATCATATAATATACATTATATTATAATACATAATATATAAAATGTAATATATTATTAATCATAATTTATAATTATATATAATAATATATAATATAAAAATTATTATTATATATTACATATTACATAATGTAATATATTTAATATATAATAATATACATTTTAATATTATATGTTATATATATTATTATATATTATCTATGTTATATATTATACGTATATATTAGGGTATTTATTATTTTTATTATTTATATTTATATTATGGTAATTAACATTCAAGTTTACATATATTTATTACTTTATTGCATTTAAAATTAAAAACAAACAAACCTTTAAGTTTTAATTGAGTTAAATTTTGAAACAACCAAGTTTAAGTACTGAAATACTCTTTAAGATGCCATCACATCTCCTCTGAAAAGAAATCAACAGAAGTTTGTAGTACACAGCATTTGAGCAGGACTTTATGCTGACCTGTGTGAAAATCATGTCCTGTATTTTCAATTTAAATTTTGTAACTGCCTTAATGTTTGTTAAAGACCAGACATGCTGCTCTACTGCTAAATGCTCCAACTTTTTAACTTTATGAAATCTTAACTTACAAATAAATTTATAGATTTATCAAATCGTTATTATACCAAGTTTTAACTCAGTGTAAGAAAGGTTGTGTTACAACTAAGTATTCCATCGTCCATGTGAAACACTAACATTGACCGAGGCCCACACAGTCAATCAGCTGACAGCAAAGCCTGCTGCGCTGGCTCTGCTTTCGGTTAGAAAACCCTTCCAGCGCTCCTGTAACGTGTTCTCTGATGCAACCGATTTAGGGGTCTACATCCAGGGACTGTTCTTGGATGGAGCACGCTGGAACCGAGAAACCAAAAAGCTAGGAGAATCTCACCCGAAAATCCTCTACGATACGGTGCCTGTGGTGAGTGTGTACTACGTTTCGTAACATTTCTACAGTATTATATGTGAACAAATCCTGTGGATTAAATACCTAAGTGCCTCCCTCTAAGGGAGCAACAGGCTAACTCAAGAGTTTGTAGCATCTATAAGTTACAACAGTATGTTTGGCATAGCAGATTGTAACCTTGAATAAAACCAGCAAAGACAATATTCAACAAAAAGCAGGTTTTCAGGCTCACCTGTCAAAAACAAAACACCACTCTCAAAAACACTTAGGCCCAACCGAGAAGGTTTCCCACCCTCCCACACCCCCCTTAAAAAAATAAAATAAAATAATAAAATAAATAGTTAAAAGGATTATTCTTTGCTGCAAATATGGTTAAAGCCCTGTAAGAAAGCAGACATTCCACAACGACCCAGTTACCTGGCTCCAGTGTACAAGACCAGCGAGAGAAGAGGAATCCTGTCAACCACCGGCCATTCCACCAACTTTGTCATTGCGATGACCCTTCCTTCCGATGAACCGCAGGAACACTGGATCAAACGGGGGGTGGCGTTATTATGCCAGCTTAACTCTTGAACTTACCGCCATTATTGAGGGTTCCTTTCCTAGATGCCCCGTGAGGAACGCGTGTCGGTTCTGAATGTCCATAGTATCAATACATATGAAAGTATTCATGAAAAAGTGAAAAACATTTCGCACGTTGCAATTTGTGACGTATAAAATACAAGATTGTGCAGTAAAACCTCATGAAAGCCAACAAGCACATCTGCTCCTTTAATAATTTTATTTTTTTGAAGGCTTATTTATAAGGAACATACATAAAAATGAACACAACACTGTTGACAATGAACAGTACAGCATTTGACCTTTTCCAGCTTTATAAAATTAAAAAAAATAATGATAAGAAAAAGACTGATAGCTAAGCTGTATCTTATAGGACCATAATCACATTAGAAACCATAGACTCAATCATTGGCAGGAGGGGATTTTTTTTATTAAAAAAAAAAAATAATAAAAAAAATCACACTGCATCTAGCAACAACAGTATTTCTAAGCGTAATCACAGCAGATCGAGTGCAATGTGATCTACATCAAAATTCATATGGGATGTCACCCAGTGACAGCATTTTAATTATACAAATAACACGCCCTCCAACAAATAAAAGTTAGATGAGACTCTGGATTCGGCAGAGTGGAATGTACAAACCAAGCGGAAATGTAGTGGAATTGTGATTGGCTGTAACGTGACTTAAAACTGTACATGAGAACAATTTGAATTTCAGTCCTGGTGGAAAAGTCACGGTGTTACGCTGCCCTTGGTAAGTTGTAATTAATATCACAAAATGAAAGACAAGCAACATATGTATTTAATGAAAAAATCCAGTACCTGCCTTGAGAGATCGTATTTTCCCTTGTCTGAAGACTGTCTCGAAAGCAAGTTGATTATTTTCCTATGTGGGCAGTGTATGAAGCTAAAACCATACTCTAACTAATACAAAGGAAATACACTACCTGAAATAAGCAATTTTTCATTCGAAATGCATGAAAAGAAATAAACTTACTTAAAAAAAAAAAAAAAAGGATGAAAACTTCAGTTAGACCACACTCGACAGAGTTAACAAAAAATTAAAATTAAGGGTCAGTTCAATACATAGGCAACGTAAGTTATCGAAGCTAAGATCCTCAGTAATTATCCCGTGACTCGAGTCTCTTTGAAAACCGTACGCAGGGATGTACGGTGAGCACCGGGTAAAGGAAGTGTCACCTAGGATCTTTGCACTGCACAATTTCAGCAAACCGAAGCTAATTACACTACACTTGCTAATCGGGGTCCAACAATAAATGTTTTTGAAGAGGAAAACTAACGAACCGACGAGTTCTCAACATCGCGTGGCCGTGTGTCTAAACTCTGTGTTTCGGCTTCTTCACCGAAGAAACTGCGCTATTCTTCCGAATGGACCCTTAATACTGTGCCTCGATACTGCATTAGGAAGAAATACTGGTGAGAACCAACCGACACCTTGACAATACACAAGCTGCTTCTGCTGAAAACTGAACTGACCGACGAAGCTTCGGAAACTAACAGGCCACGAGAAACACACAAACTTGAAATGGAATGCAGATACCAGCTGGTGCTCCTTTTAGCTGTTAGCATCTGTTTCAGCTACTAGCCTGGCAGCGAGCAGACCGAAACAAAACTTACAGCATGTAGTCCAGCAATGGCTTACCTGGCCTACACAAAGGAGGCGGCAAACTGGAGGTTCTGGAAAAGGCTACTTCCTTGATTACGAGTGGAACTACAGAATCGACTCTGGCTCCTCAAGAACTCAGCATGTTCTTCCTCAATAAGATAATGAGTACAAGAAGAACTCGCTCCTGTCTGGCAGAATAACCGTCTCAGCAAAATCTGATCCGGGACGTGCTCCCAGCATGTCAAGCCCAAAAACTTTCAGTCTATCCTTCCAAATTAAGCCTACGACCCATCTATCGCATTCGCTTTTTAATAAATACCAAAATCCTTTAAAAAAAAAATCATACAAACGAACTAATTCACGCTGGAAGTAGAAATCTTCTTAGTCTCAACCACAGAAATGGCTGGTGCCACAATGACTGATATTGAGGCACTATAGAAACAGAGTACAATAAGTAACCCTACATGCACATTGCATATTTTAACTTTTGTGCCCACTTTCAGTAACTAGCATGTTTGTTGTACTTCAACCTAGGAGAAAATACTCCAAAATAACTGTTAAAGAAAAAATCCCATACTGATTCTCCATGAAATTAAGATTCACACATTCACAGCCACAATTCTTCAGTAGTTTATGCTGCAAGTGGCACATGTTTAGCATCTGCACATGTTTAATAACATCTGTAGAAAAGAACCAGGAATAGCTCAATAACCCCAACGTCAGGGATTTCCCCAAGCTAGCGCTAATTCTACTGCAGTTTGCATTTTCCTACTAATATCTAAGAACAAACATCAAATTTTAGACAGGAAAGCATCGTCAAAGTGATCCTCGACAGGACATCGTAGCACTTTGCGGCGTATATTGCAACGGCCTGCCTTCTTACACATGAAGTTAAAATGAGGGAGTGCGCCTTACAGTTTTGGCCCTCTTTTTTTCCTGAAATTTAAGACAGCACAGTGGTTTCCACTCATCTATTGTTGTTAAGATTTAATAGTTCAAGTCACCACTTTGCAGAAGAACCAGCTCTATGCATGAGTACGCATGCATACGCACAGATAGAATAAGATACATACATATACATATATATATGCCTACTGCTTAAGACTTGTGCAGTGCTGTAAGTGTACTCAGGTGCCTTGCATAGGTACAATTTTCAGCTGTAAAATTTTCTGGGTTCTGGTAAACAATGTAAGAAATGCTTTTTTTCCCCAAGCACGTACATCCTTCGCTGTCTTTTTTTAATATAAGCGAGCAGCACACTGAACTTGGCATTTATTTCTGGAATTTACTATTTCCCAATTGCCACTTAATGGAGTTGAGAAGATGCGTTAGGGTCATCTCATCTGATTTGAATTGGAAAAATGCAGCAGGTAACACATACAGAAATGAATGGGATGTACTTGCGTAAGTAGTGCAAGCCGCTGCTTTTCCTCTAAGCTATGTGCATACAGTGAAACAGTGCAGACTCGAAGCCGTACAGTAATAGCATCGTATCCACAGCAAAACCCGGGATATGGTCAAAACTGGATGTTAAGCACAATTTTATCTTCGTAGAGGGCAATCACCAGCATGATGGCAAATCCAAGAAGCAGGCCTAGATTCTGCAGAATGAACTGCCCCACCGGACAATAACCGTGCTCTTCGTTATCTGCGTCTCCGTGAAGCATCTCCGGAAGCTAAAAAGAAATCCGATGAAAAAAAGGTTATTTCACCTCTGTTTTATGTAATCACTGACAAAGTTACAAGACGATATTTATCGATGAAGAATAAGCAATCGAGGTTTCAGTTATAAAAAGAAGCCACAATACATACTTAAAACTAGACACAACCACTGTATTTTAGAAAAACTGTCTCAAACACATCATCATGTATTCAGTAGACAAAGTGAACGCTCTTCTCCACCGGGCGCTTATACACTCTTCCTGGATCACGCATCTAGATCAAATTCCAGTATCAAGGGCTAGTCTAGAATTCTTTCTGTCTGCTCTTTCAAGTTTGTTTTCTCAATTAAAACTAGCCACGTGGCTCTAAAGACTCGGTCAATTAACTCAGCCCTTTGTCCTGTTATATGCTTTATGTATATTCACACGCGTCTGAGAATAGTGAGGCTCATCATGCATGCCACAGGTAATTCAGGAGGAATTTCACAGACGACTATAGAAAGTTCTGAAAGCTGTGCCTGTTCCTCAGCTACAAAGAAAACATCAAATAGTACTGACAGAAGTGCTAAATAAATGCAGATGTGGAAGATGTAAAAATAAATCTTCCACAGTGCCTTACAGGACCACCCAGGCAAGACAAAAATAACTGAAAGGATTTCCTTCATTTACCTTCTTGACCTTTTTGTCAATTCATTTTTCGTAGACCATTTCAAGAATGAAACAAAACATTATAGATCAAACAGAAACTCAGTCAGTGGAGAGCAAAAGTCTCTATTGTAGCTCTCCATAAAATAGGCTATAACTGTTCTGGTTATTCCAAATATCTGAGTATGGTACAACAAGCATAAACAAATAATCAGACCACCAGATCAGCTAAGAAGATTAATACATTGCCTGTTTGGTCTTGCCTTATCGTATTTCACAAAGATACATAAACCAGCAATTCGAAAATTTAAACGTAAAAAATATACACAACGGTATGAAAATTGCTCATCCCTGCTATAGACTACTGAACTTCTCAATTTATAGGCTCCCTATATAACCGATTTCAGTGACTGGGCACTAAGACTAGTCCTGTCAATATAAACATGTCTCGCAGTTGAAAATTTATAGTTTCTTGCAGAGATGTGAGAAAAATATATGACATTTTTAAAATAAATTACATATGTTATAAAACTATATAATATATATTATAAATTATATATGTAATTAATTCATAAATACATAATATAAAGTATGAAATAGATATAATTTTCCAGTAAGAACAGAATTCAAAAGTCATCTCCACATAAGTGACAGCAGGAGGTCACGGAGAGCCTTAAGGATTTAAGATTTCCTGAGTTCAGTTCAGGTTCTCCCTCCTCTCAACTAGGAGAAAACTAAATTTTAGCAGTACAGAATTATATCTCATCAGATGAACTTCCATCATACACGAGAATACCAGAAGGTCAGTCGCCCCTTAGCGGGCCTCAGCTGAGCTGCAAAACAATTAAACTCCATTCCTATTAGGTGTCAGAAGACAGGGACTTGGAGAGGAAGGCAGATTAAGGAGCTGTAAGAACACGAACTCGGTGCATTTTCAGGTGTATCACACAGAGGCACTCCCACTCTTGTTTACAGTCAGACTATATTGAATGCTTGTGTGCCTAAGGAAATGGACCAAGAATAAAAATATTGCAGAATGAAAATATTGCCTTCCTTTGCACATTCTGTCTTCAGTCAAAGTACATAAAGCAAAAATAATACAAGCACAGAACTTACAGAAAACTAGCTGGTATCCAGTAACTATAGGCTATCGCAGAACATCTATGTTTGCACGAGGAGTTATTCTCTGCTATGCAGCCATTCGCCTCAGTGAGACCTGAAAAGGACTGACCGACTTAATTTATAATAGCAACTTCAACACTGGGGCATACTGACTAATTAAAGTTCTCTATAATGAAAGAGATATCCCCTTTTTTGCTGCCTTAACACAGACAGAAAAAAATACAGCGATGATCAGCTTTCACGAGTCCTGGTCCTAAAGGTTCTAACGGAAGTGGGACTATCGCAGACCTCCGTAACCAAAGCTAAGTTTGAAGGCAAGAAGCCTTTAAGTTTCCTGAGCCCAGTGTGGCAGTAATGGCAGATGTAAGTTTGCTAAGTGAGACAGATCGTGCCGATATCAGGAAATTCAGTAGAAACCGAACCCTTTCTTTCAGCTGTCTTCACTAATGCTTCAAAGATACCGACAAGGCAGAGAAACCTGACAAGGAACTTGGAGCTGCTGGCCACAGGGGAGAGGAGTTTTCAGAGTGTCAGCTGCTTTGGTTTGCATGAGGGAAATAGAAAAATCAAAATCGTCTTACCATTTAGACCAACGCCACATAGAGGAACATGTCTGCAGTGACTGTGAAGATCCACAGGGTGATGTTAATCGCATACTGTCCCACCGCTGTGCCGATCAGCATGCCTACGTAAGCCATCACGGTGTGCTCTTGCAGTCCAGAAGGCCAACTGTGTTCCAGGCTGCATTAAAAAAAGGGTGGCCAGCATGGAGAGGGAAGTGATCGTCCCCCTCTACTCGGCTCTTGTGAGGCCCCATCTGGAGCACTGCATCCAGGCATGGGGCCCCCGGTACAGGAAGGACGTGGAGCTCTTGGAGCAGGTTCGGAGGAAGGACCAGTAAGATGATCAGAGTGCTGGAGCTCCTCTCCTACGAGGAAAGGTTGAGGGAACTGGGCTTGTTTTTAAGCTTGGAGAAGAGAAGGCCCCGGGGAGACCTCGTTGCAGCCTTCCAGTACCTGAAGGGAGTAAACAGGAGGAGTAACGACTGTTTACATGAGTGGATAGTGATAGGACAAGGAGGAATGGTTTTAAACTGAGACAGGGGAGCTTTAGGTTAGATACTAGGAGGATGTTTTTCACGCAGAGGGTGGTTAAGTGCTACATCAGGATGCCTGAGGAGGTTGCGGACCCCCCATTCCTGGAGGCATTCAAGGCCAGGCTGGATGTGGCTCTGGGCAGCCCAGTCTGGTGGCTGGGAGGGGGCTAGCAGGGGAGTCGAAATAAGATGATCATTGTGGTCCTTTTCAACCCAGACCTTTCTATGACTCTACGATTCTATGCTAGAGGGGCTCAAAAGAAGACTGGACAGCAGGACACAAAAACTCTAGTAACACCTCTGTGTGCAGCAACGCCTTGCTTAAAATACTATTTAAAGGTAACAATTCACCACATTAATCTGGCACCAGTTCAGGCTACAGACAAAAAAAAAAAAAAAAAAAAAAAGCCAAGAGCTCCTGTCTCGAGCTGCTCTTTTGTAAATCTTGGGATGCGCTCATATTTCATGTGATGCACCTTGTGGCTGACGCATCATGATAAACTAGCACCCGAGAAAAAATGCTTTAGTTATAGACAAGAGTCAAAGGCATCAGCAACGATGCTTACAGGCTTTAGCCAAACAACCATTCAAATCGACCGGACTCGGTGATAAGCGGTACATCTGGACATCTACACAAAGGCTTCTACTTAATCGCTTAATTTTCTGTAATATGTCATACGCTATATAACATTTTTGAAGACAACGCAATAGACTCTGCACAAAATGGCAGAGGTGTAACACCAGAAATGTACCCTCTGTACTCCCAAATACCTTTGTGAGCATCCTGAAAATACTTCACAGAACGCTATAGCTATTATGTCTGCCAAACACATCTCAACAGTCTCATTACGTATGCTGAAACAATACTGCTCAATCCCTCTGCAAAGGTCCGGTCACCCTCGCTGCAACCGCACCTATCCAGCAGCTACTGGGAGGAGTGTCACAACAGAATTTACACACACACATTCACTCAGCCTTGTTTGTACCAAGTACTGGTTTTTTAAAATTCGTTACCTAATTCATAGGGCAGCTCGTGACCAAATACTGCTATAGATGTACTAATCCCTCCTGTCAGACCAGCACTAAAAGCTGCTCCTGAAAGAAAAAAGAAAAAAAAAAAGTTACAAATGTTACTATATCATCAATGAATGTACAGATGTTATAATTATGAAATATACCACTGTGTTTGGCTAAGCAGTTAATATATACCAAAAGAGAACAGATAGAACACTTACGTGTATCCTGGGCTTGCCATGAAACTCCAGAGAAGGGGATCTCAGGAAGGGATCCCTCCCTGCTGGCAGTCAGCTCTTAAATAGGTCTAGGAGAGGTAGAGCCAGGCTCCACCCCTTCCAGCAACATGGTTCAATTGCCTTCACCTGTGCTCCCCTGGCTGACTCATTGCTCACTTCAAGTGATCAATCAGAGGTGCAGGCCATGATTCAGCAATTCCCATACACACACTCAAGATAGTAATTTCTAATAAAGCAAAAATTTCTGAGAAGAGCAGTTTATTCATTATTGCAATTGTGGGTGCAAGCAATTACGACAAGGGAGAAATTGCACAACTAGTCAGTGAAATCCATGCTGTTACATACCCTGGGTCCAAAGCAGGTAAAGCCTTTCCTGGAACTCATTGCCTGAGTGTCTCAGGCTCACCAACTTTCCTTGCCGTTGCTACCTTATGCTTCCATACAGTATCTGTTTCCAATGCACTGTTTTTAGGTTTGTTCTGTACTCTTTATGGCAACGGGAGGCCAATATTCTCAAAAATTAGCACACTTGTTCTGCCCTGTTCCAGACTCTCCCCTACCCTACATAATTACATTGATTAATGCCTATGCCAATTATACTTAAGTCCGAATGCCCCAGTCTTCACCTGATTCTGTTTGGGAGCTTTCTATGTGAAAGGCAACTTAACTTATGCTACATACAGAAATACTGGAAACCTCCACTGCAATAACACAATCTACCTCTCATGTGTCTTCAGGGCAGCCTTAAGAATGCTGTTACAGCATTCAATAAGGCTTGCCCCTGTACGATTACATGACAAAAGTATTTGACACTCAGTGTTCTTTTCTTCTGCCCAGCATTGTACCATTACACCAGTAAAACAAGTCTCCAGGTCGCTCTCGATGACGTGAGGTGTCCTGCTTGTAGCCAGCCATCAACCTGGGGAGCACCTTGATGTTATATTCCTGGTTTACTCTTAGCGCTGGATAGGCCTGCTTTAGTCCACTTGCTGTGTCAACTCAGGTCAGGTCTCATCTCACCCCCTCAGACTGAGTGAAGGCCCAGTGTAATCAATCTGCCATCGCTGGAGAGGATTTCTTCGTCCGTTGGGGTGCTCCTTCAGGCAATATTCTTGCCTTCTTCTTGGAGACGAGCACCACGGTCTCAGCATCCCAGGATGATATCAGGCTGGCCTTGGTCTTTTTAACAACCAGCTCTCCTTGCTGAAACACCTCTTGTTCCTTCTCCCCCAGTCCCATTTTTGGCCTTTCTTTGTGAGTCAATACAAAGGCTTCAACAGCTGTGCTAGGTGCATTATAAAGGAATGCCAGTAACCCAATATAATACACCCAAATTCTTGCTACTTACTTGGCATGTCGGGGACCTTGAATTCCTTACTTTTTTTTCTATTATGTCACTGGTAGCAAGGGGCTTATTGTAGCATGAAGTCCCTAACTCCCACCAAAAACTTAAGCAGATCTGGAATCTTCAAAGTGGCCCCATAAGTGGCCTCCTTCACGCCTATCTCTCTGATACTATTTTGGCATACTTCCATTGAGGTCCACAAACCGGTATTGGCACATAACTCCTGTTAGGCCATGCGATTCTACACGTTGCCATAGTTTACCAAATTAAAGAATGTTTTTTGTCACTCCATATTACCATCACATATAGTCTGTCTGAGGGCCAGATGCGTGGTAACAGATGCAAGTTGGGAAATCTTGAGTCCATTAATTACCACTCTTTCAGCCCCCTCATCCCATCATCTCAAAAGCCAGGCTGGTATCTTCTTTTATGGTCTTCATTGCGTTGTAGCAAACTGTGGTAGCAAATCCATTAGTTTAGTGGCTGCATATGGGCACGCTGTTACACGTAGTGCTTGGTCGGGGGGGGGGTTGGTGGTGTCACTCTTTATGTGGCAACCCTGCTGGTCTATCCTGGGTTTTTCCTTGTCTTTTGAGTTTGTACCTGTCCTGTTTCAAGAGCATCTGGGAATCTAGAGAATCAAGAAGGGCTGTCACATGAAAAGTGACCCCCCTGCCCACACCGCACCATGTGTAACAGCTGAGATTCCCAGGTCCTCTATGTGGATTTCAGTTTGCTTGCCCTTCTTTTACTTCATAGACTCAATTAGATCAGTAGGAGCCCTGGATCTTAAGTTATCCTTTCCCCCTTCTAACAACATGGTCAGAATTTCAAATAAGTTCCATTTGAAAGTGTAGCAGTTCACCATAGATGAAAAAAGATGAAATTTTATTTCCCAGTTGCCAAACCTGAGGTTTTGAAAGCTCATTTTTATCATTTAACTATTCCTCACAGGAATGACATTTCTAAAGACTGAGTAGCAGCAGCCATACTACAGCAAATGCTGCTGCTACTCTTCCCTTGCTCACTAAAAAATTTTGAGCTATTTTATTTTTCAAGTCAGCTATTTCTGAAAGGGATTTAATAATAGGACCATTGTACCTTATAGGTCCCTGTTCTTCAATAACTGGTACCAAATCTAACAATGAAGGACCCAAGAACCCTGGGGTTTTCCCTTGGAGATACTCCATCAGTGTATTTGGCATCCCAGTAACCATCCACTGGTTTTTTTGTTTGTTAAGGAAATCCTTTTTAAGTACCTGACTGGCTCACCAAACATAGTGCTATAATGCTACAATGTGATAGAAAGAACAGCAATAACCTCAGTGTAGCACAATCCTAGATTGCAGCAAGCTAGAACAAGCCCAAATGTAGCAACAGCAGATACAGAAAGAAAAGAAGAAAATCTCCTTACCTTCTAAAGCCTGCAGCTAGGCAAAAAACTGCAGTGAAGTGCCTTTACCTCTACTGAGAGAACTTAAAAGAGGTCTGGGAAGGGGTGTATCCTGGCTCCAGCCCCTCCTTTCACTCAGATACATTGCTTACACATGAGCTCCCCTGCATTGGCCCCACCAGGTGCTCAATCACTGCTTCAGGTCGTGGCTGAGCACAGCTTGACAGCTCAGACAGGCCAGGCATATCTGGAAGCAGCTCACGCAGTTCAATGCAGATATGCTTTCAGGGCTATTTAAAGTGGTCTGATAAAGAGTGCACGTGGAGCTGGCAGGTTTGGGGAACTGTGTAGGTGTGCTCGGCTGTGTTTGAGGTCTGATGCTATCTGGAAGCACAGCCGGAGCATCTTTGGTGTTTGCATCGCCAAATGGCAGCAGACACTGAGGAAGGAAAGCAGGGGACGTCTATGCACTCAGAAATGGCTGACCTTTAAATTTAATCTGCAGGCTTCTCGCACTGCTTCTCCCAAAGACTGAAAGACCTGTGTTTCACGTTATGCATTTATTTGTCATATTTGTCGTTAGTTACAAGTAAAAACATTGGAAATCCACTGTAGTTAATACAAAATAGAAATAAAGCCACATGAGTTATGCCTTACTTTTTCCTTGCAAACAGTATCTCCTAGATGACGCTGTATACATCAGAGCTTAACTTCTAACAGTACTTGCCTATAGTAAGCTCTTAGCAACTAATTTCCAGCGTGATTTGCTTGCTGGTCACAGATATCACCCTCGTGGAGCAGTATCTGCTAAACATGTCACGATGGCGTGTTATGCTGTAGTTTTTATTTCCCCTGTAACTGGTGATGCTAAATACAAGTTGAAGGAAGAAACCTTTTAGTGCAGTGTTAAGCATCGGTAGAATTATATTTGTATGTATCTAAAAAAATAACCCAATGCATAAACAAACAAGGATGTAAGGTGACCATTGCAGGTGCTGTGCTTCCCTTTCTTCGCCTTTGTGAAGTGACAGGAATGAACATTCATAGCGAATGGGCTCCTCTGGAACCTCTCATTTTGCACAAATTTTGGAAAATTAGGCGTCTGATTTTTGGAGGTGATCCCAAGCGAAGTTATCGACAGAGAATCAAATCTCATGCCTTTGCAGACTCGTTCCTATGTAAACTCATGCCTGTCATCATATTCAGTCCCTAATGCAGTTTGCCCTTCAGGCATGCCTAAAAAAGCATTCTCACCTTTTTAAAGTACTGCCCTTACATCCTTGTTGTTATCTAACTCTTTTGTGTAGATATAACTCTATATATGAAATAATCTTTAAAAAGATAAGTTATACTGTTTCCAAAATACTCTTACATAGAAAGTTGTGCAGGTGCAAAGTTTGATAGCGTTTTGTTACAAGGATTAAGAATTAATTAATTAGTGTTATCTGAGTATATGTTCTTTAAGCTGGAAGTATAGATTTAATATAGTGGGCTTTTATTTTTGCTCCCATCCCCCTTTTTCCTTAACATTTCATAGCGTTTCATACTTCCTTCAGACTATCTCTGTGTTTCTAATAACCCTAACCCTACCAAACTCCTCTCTCTCTTTTTTTAACTATTTCCAATCCATTAAAGGTACAGCAGTTGATTACACGTTCATGCTTGTCGCTAACGTCTTTCTGTATCTCCGGCAGTTTGAAGTACATCTTTTCATTTCCATATAAACACAGTCATTTCTTCTAAGCCAGAGACTACTGGCAAAAATCCTGTGCCCGCGGAGACCGATGGAGCCAATGTTTCAGTTTTGCTATGTGCTCTGCTCTTTTGGCCTTGCAACATCAGGGAGCAAAGCTCCACACCAGCAGCGCAGGTTTGCAGCTACAGAGGCTGTCAGCGTTCACAGAGCATAGCAAAGAAACCATGCTCAAGTGTTCTCACTGGTATTTCTACCCTCACATACAAAATACTAAATACTCTGAGAGAGGAAAACGGAAGTATTTGGGCATTCCGATATGATGCAGTAAATTATCATTGCAGAGAGAAGGCTGGAAGAAACCCAAACACCGCTACCACACGTGTAACAGAAACCAGTCATTCACTTAGGCAAAACCGTGGGCATCTGGAAGCTGAAGGACGGCTCTGACGTCTTAGGCTGTTTGGTCTATCTGCAGAACAGCTGCTTGGGTTGTTTCTTCATCGGATTCTTCCATTTCTCCGCTGACTGGTTTGCTCCTTTCATCATACAGTTTCTGGCTGGGGTCTTCGAGAGGCATCCCGTACTCTTCATCATCCTCAACAATGGACAGCTCAATGTTGTTGTTTGTCACGGCGCTGCTTTCCATCCTGGCTTCTTTCTCCAAAGAATCAATGACGGCTTTGCTCTCCTCAGCCAGAGACGTGGTGGGGGTCATATCTGAGTGCATGTCTGCGAAGGACATCTCCTCCTCGTTCTCGGCCTGGTCGGTGCTTGCCGTATCTGCCGGTCTGTCTTCGGCTTCAGCGGGACTTTCTCCTTCATGGGATTTCTTCACATGGAACGCGAGCGGAACTTTGAAAGGTGAACTCTTGGAAGAGGAGGATTTCTGATGGTGCACTGTAAGGGATTTCTTAATCTTCTCTCTCCTTTCAGGTGAGACGATCTTTGTGCTGATCTTGTTCATCTTCTTCTCGATGTTTTGTCGGGAGAACGCTTTCTTGAGGCTGTCGACCTTCTTCAGGCTGGTCCTTTTAATTTTCTCAGCTCTTGACTCTTCTGCTTTCTCATCTGCGCTGTCGCCCACATCATCTTCGTGATGTATGTCATCCTCTGAAGATAATTCCACTGTATGCAAGGTTTCTTCCAACGTTTTGTTCTCATCCACAGGCTCTTCTTTTCCTTCTGTAATGCTGGGAATAGGCTCCTTTGCAAAAACACTGGCAGGGATCTCATTTTCCTCCTGAAAGAAATGACAATATTTGAGTTTCATAGTTCACAGATTTAATAAATAAACCACAACCCTGAACAACAACTACTTTTTTTTTTTTTTATATATATAAATTCCAACAGCGAGAGGAAGGATGCTGAACATCTCTTGTTGTTTCAGCATATTTAACCAGTAACAAGCCACTCAAAGCCCACTGAACCATTATCTGGTAACAGTTTAAGACTAATGAGCTGTCAACTGTAAGATTTCTCTTTCAGAGGGACTTGGAATCTATACAGAATGGAAATTCCATTATTTGTCATTTAAATTAGCTTCTCTTTTAAACACTTCAGAGGTTGTACACCGATCCCTGAGAAGAAGGGGTGATATCATGGCTATGGATGCCTTGGTGCAGACAGATCACTTGTGTTGGCCTCGTTCCCAACTAGAAGCAAAGACAGTGAAGCTTCTTGGATAACACTGGACTTAGTATGGTGAGTAAAGCACAACCTGCCATTTATTCTTCTCCTTTCTACGATCACAGTGATCTGAATATTACTTTTTGGGAGTTAAGGGAGTGAAGTTTTGCCCACTGGATGCATAATAAGATTTATTACTCCCTGCCTAAACCTACTTCCTTTGGATGGCCAACCTGTGGGGTTGGCCAAAAACACTGATGCTAGTGTTGATATGCCTTAAACACGCCTTAAAGGCCTCTGTGCTACACAGATGACTGCTCAGGCACTGAGAATGCTTCTTTGTCTTCAAGGAGAGAGAACCAGGGAGTCTGGGGAAAATCTGTAGACCTTTCCTCTCCCAACCGTGTTTTTGTAGAGTAAGCCATGTGGCCCAGGATATTTAGAATGCATGCTGTTCTACAACTATTTAGAGCACAGAAAAAAAAAAAAATAAAGGGAAATTTTCTTAGTGTACTGGGAATTACTAGAAATTGGTAACTGAGAAACAAAAAAAAAAAAGCGTTGTGATTTGGAAGGAAATTATTCGGTCTTTTCTTTGTTTGTTGTTTCTTTTTTAACCAAAAAATTATCATTAGATATGACAGCAGCAAGTGCTGAGTGAAATGGTTGTAATAGCCTCAGCTCTCTCCCCAGTGGGCTTGAGCTTACAGTTAAAAGGGGAAAAAAGGCCACATACGTTGCC